CCCATCTTGCTATCCAGAATGACTCAGTTTTGATGCATTATGTACTATTAAGCAATTGTAATCTTTCCAATATGGAAAGCTCATATTTTTGTACTCATTAAGTTGTGTCAGAGCATGAAATCTAATAAGAGAAATCTAGAGGACTCTTAGTTCAGATCAGTCCAATTCTACTTTCTCATTTAGTTAATGATTATATGTGTCTTGTGATTCAACACCTTGTTTTTAATTAATGTCCTCCTTTTCTTATATACAGGTATTTCCTTTGTTCTTCTTTGCAACATTATCTTAATCACGTCTGAATATTTTAAGATTGTTTATGAGACAGTGACATGATGAAGCTGCAGCAAGAGACATTAAAAAGAACAAAGACTTTCTGTTGTGTTGAATTTAGAGCTGCATAAAAAAACATAAAAAGCTATGGATCACCTGAGACAGATTGACAAGTATTTTAGAATGTTCTGTTATACAAAATCCTGCAAAAGAACTTCTGGCTACTCATTTTTGGCAGCAACTGATTTGCAAACCAGTAAGAACCCCCTCCCTGGCTGACCATACTCCATTTTTTACCCACCTTGCGACCAGTTTGGAGCACTAACTTTTTTACGAGGGATGAAAAATTGGATTTGCTTCCAAACAGCCCATGCAAGAAAACAAGTGGAGGATCTGATGATGGTCCATCACAAATGGCATAGGAGAGAGGCACTGGCCTATAAATAAAACAAAAGCCATGATCAAGTTGATGGTTAGGCTAGCACACCCAGACAGCAAAAATGTGGATGACCACAAAGTGGCAGATAGTAACATAGATATGTGGAAACCCTCCTTGCTGCCATTCCACGGCCTTAATTGTTTCAGCTAAGATTTGTAGGAATGTTTGCAAGGTTTATAAAGACAAATTAATGTAAGGACAGATTTATGAATGACTATTAGCTAAAAAGAATCTCCAGGAAGATTCTAGAAGGAAGTGAGCTACTATAAAAAAGAGTAATTTTACTTGAGCTCTGCTTGTGGTTTTCCTTGCAAAATCTGGAAGCTTCTATAAGGACCAGTGAAGTAGAATAAGTAGACCATAAATAAGCTTTTGATTATTGATGCTCTATCTTTTCCCCTTAGGAGTCTCTGAGGCAGCTTACTAGCAACATAAATCTATTTCAAAGGAATCAATAAATAGCAGCATTTTAAAAACAGAATCATCTGAAAATATTCAGCATTTATATGCTGCCATCTAGTGGTCTTATGGGTTATTACAACCAAATTGATATATCCCGCCCTGAGTCCGCAAGAAGGGCGGGATATAAATTTAATAAAAATAAATAAATAAATTATACATTGTACAGGTATTTCAGACAGGAAATAGACCATTTCTGCGGCCCCATCGCAGCTGACCGCCGAAAAGGGGGGGGGGGCTATTGGGACGCCATCATTTTATTGTATATTTACAGCCTGTCCTTTCCATCTCTATGATGACTACATCCGGTCAATGATCCTGACACAACCGGGAACATGGAGGCTTCATGAACCAGGAGGTTCGCTCTATCTACTCTTTTCAAGTTCCACCCCCTTCCCGAGCTCTTACATCATGGCGCGGCTGGCGAGACCCTTTCTTTCCCGGGCTGTGATAGCGAGGCGGCATCGGAGTGTCTGGGCCCGCATCCAGCGAAAAGGAGAACGCGGAAAGCCAAGAGCACGAAGCATCATTGGCCGGGCGTAGCGGTCACCAAGGTGACAAAGAGACTAAAATTAGAACGTAGCCACAGATCTACTGCCGGGTCGGTTGCTAAGGTGTCCGATGCCATAGAACAGGGGTGGGGAACTGGCTCAGGAATTCTGGGAATTGAAGTCCACAAATCATAAAAGGGCCATAGTTTCCCACCCCTGCCATAGAAGAAAGTAATTCGAATGTCTTGCCCCTTCCGGCTTTGTTGGACACGCCCACTGGATCTTGTCTGTCACCAGAGGGAGTGACGAATGCCCTTATTCATGTTTGGTTGCTAGTAAAGCCAAGTTTCGGAATGACACAAAACTTTTTTCAAATAATACTTTTATATAATATTGAATAAAATATTATATCGTGATAAAATATTGAAAATAATATTTTCAAAAAATACATATCAAATAACCAGGAAAACGTTATGATTGATGGCGATCAATGGTTTTTTTTAGTAAAAAAAAAAATTCCCCAGAAGTCATAAAGTCTCCTGGAAACTGAATGCCACGCCTGTTGACTGCAGGCAAATATATCCGCGATCCTGAAGTGCAATGCCATTGCTCTATTCCACAAGATACATTAATCTCATTTGTATCCCCAGTATTCCTAGGAAGTCTCCCATTTGAGAAGTAACCTTTTTGAGATAAGTTCAGTCAGGTTGTTTCTAGGGCAGGGGTTCCCAAGATGTGGCCTGTGGATGCCTAGATGTCTCTGTGACCTCTTCAAGTGGCCCACGAAGTCAAATATTTTAAATTTCTTAGTTTTAATTTCTAATTCAGTATATATCAATAGATACAACCCACATATACCAAAGCTTTTTGGGTCCTCAATCATTTTTAAGAAGGTGAAGTGTTCTGATGTTGCCTAGAAACTCAGGCAACAAGTTTACGTGGAGACGAAGTTCTGTTTCCTAAATTTGGGAGAGAAAAACACTTTTACCCCTGGAAAGGTGTTTTTTTTTTAACCCATCCGAAAATACAAATCACCAAGTAATTCAGGCAAAAAAAAAAGAAGCATCTACGTGGGGGAGGGGTTAGCAAATCTTTTTATAGGGCATAGAAACAAATATTACATTTGTTATATGTGATGTGTCAGAAAGCAACAAATAAAACAGACATTTATTAAACATGAGTATTAAACAATAGAAAACATTGATCCTATTTCCCTAAATGGTAAATTTATGAATGTTGACACCCCCTTCCAGTCCAATTGGTATCTTTCTTAACATAGTTACATGTATACAGGTAGTTCTCACATTTTATGAGTGCATGTCGAGCGGGTCAGTTTTATGGCTGATTGTGGCACGGTCGTGTGAACACAATTTGTGATGTTTTTTGCCATTTCCTGCAAAATATGCCCATTCAATGACTTGGATCTCTTAACAACTACCGTGTTTATTTAACAATTGCAATGTTTGCTTAATGACCACCACAACAACTTTCCTCAACAACTACTGCAAAAAAGTCTGGAAAATTACTTTTGGTCATGTTGACTTACAATTATAGTGACTTAACAATCATATTCCTGGGCTCAATTACAGTTGTAAGTCAAGGAGTGTCTGTATTCAAGGATTTCCAGAATGCTCCCTATTGTTTAGTTGCTGAAAAGGTTGGTTCTTGCTATCAAAAGAAGAAATGACTTCGGTTAAAAGGAAAGCATGTTTTCCTGAACTTCAAAAAGATATATGGATGCCATGCTAAAATGCTAATAGCACCTTTATTAGAAGGTTAATAATGAAGTCTAAAATTCCATTTAACACTAACACTAAAACCAAAATGTATGAAAACCACTGTTCTAGGGAAATAGGAAAAATTCAAATATGATTGTTCGAAACTCTTCCCTTTGCCATTCTCCGTTATCTCTAAAAAAGATACTCTATAAAGGAAATCATTTGATTATTGAGCGTTTTATTCAGCATTGCAAGACCAATCCACTTCCATAAAAATGAATGCAAGCTTTAAACTGTCTGTGATGCTATTTGCTATGTGTTTATTTAATATCTATAAAATACAAAAATGTTTTACTAACATTTAGTTCACCCAGAGGATTTCAGTTATTGACTGGATTAGTAGTATAATAAATATTAATAGCTTTCAGGCAAGCAAAAGGCCACTTTATTTTAATCATTAGCCATTTCCTGCATGAGGGAAAGAACAGAAACTTCTTCCTGCTTCTGCCTTCCTATACACAAAACTGTTGACAGTAATATATGAAATTAAACTGACTTTCTTTCTCAAAGAAAGAAATAGCTAATAGCTATTGCTTCTTATTTCAAAAATAAAATATACTTGTCAAAGAAGCAGGACTCTCTGTGTTACCATTTTCATGTAGCACCTATAGGACAAACTAAAGCTACAATCTTGTACTGTTTTAAGGGTGTGGTAATCCTAATTTTCATTTTTAATTCCCCCTTTTAATTCAGGAGGGAGTTACAAACTGGAAATAGTAAGAGCTTGTCTCAGCAGGTGGCAGCACACATCCAATTATTGCCTTAGCTAAGCAAGATGAGGCTTGATTAGTGTTAGAATTGGAGACCACCAGAAAATCTTAAAGCAGTGGCCCCCAACCTTTTGGGCACCAGACCAGTTCCGTGGAGAGAGGTTTTTCTGCAGACTGGAGGGGAGTTGATTTTGCATGTTTTGCATGTTGCCTGCATCCAGCATATGGGGCTTCACTTGTTTGCACGGACTGGTTTCTGGTATGCCGCCGATTGCCAGTCCATGGACTGTGGGTTTGGGACCCCTATCTTAAATCGCAAACTAGACTGGGAAATCAAAGAAGCATCTTAGAACAATTCTGACTTGGAATGGAACTACCTGTGCAGTGAGAATGTATTTGTATTTACAAGTTTATTGGAAGGATTTGGCTGGCTTATACACATTGTAAGGACGGTATTAAAGTAGTTAGATTTCTGTCTAATCCAGGTATGGAGTTACCTTCCTCAGTAGTCTGAAGCTCATAAGTCACTTGCAGGCACCTTGCTTCCCCCCCCCCCCCCCCCCCC